GGCGCCGACCTGATGTCGTCCCCGTCGTAGATATCCAACTCTGCTGCCTGCAGGGCGTTGCTGCGCAGCTGTCGGAAGTTGATGAGGTCGTCGGGCTGGCTCCTGGGGCGTCCCTCCGTTTCCTCCGCCTGGGAGCGGGCAAGGACGGACAAGAAAAAAAAAAAAGAGAGATTCCAACGTGTTCGAGAGCTGGAGTGCAAAACTGTGTCATTAGTCAGGTGCACGTTTGTGCGGTTTTGAAAAAACAGGGAGTGGACACACGACAAGGGGCAAGGCTTGCCCGCCGGACGAAGCAATGAAGTTGCTTGAAACCTTCGTACAACGATACCCGTCTTTCAGCTCTTCCGCTGAAGAACACGGCGATGTACCACTTGGCAAACCTTACAGCCTTTTTTTCGATGTATCGATGCACTCGGGCCCAGAGCGGAAGGTCTAGGTCCAGCGCTCGATGCAAATACACAGTCCGGACGCAAATACAGACCGTAAAAAAGACTGTTAATAAAATATGACCACAATTAAGAGCACACAAAACATTGATGATGAGTTGCCGAAGACGGAGAACAGAATACCACACACAAACCTGCCGTTTTTGATCATTTCCCAACAGAGCAATAATAGCTCCGACTGCACACCTGCTTCGCCTGAGCAGCCTTCTCCTTGTCCAGGAGCTGCTGGAAGCTCTGGCGGCACAGGTCCAGCAGGGTAGGCTTCAGGACCGCCCTTGCCGCGGGGTCGAGCAGGGTCCTACAGCACATCGTCACCTGTGCATGGTGCAAAGCAAGAGTTGAGAGGGTCAGTCCTCGTGCAAGCATGCGGAGGATCGTGCGCATGCTATATTCATTCCATGGCCGATCTGTCGCTCTAAATTGAGGGGGGGGGAGAGAGTGTGCAGCCTTGAGCACAAGACGTGCCGATAGCTGTTGCATGTGGAGGGTGGGGGCGGGTGTTATTGCATGCGGTAGTGACAGGAATGGCAGGGATGCCTTCATCTGTGCTGCAGTTCTCGGCGGGTTCAACATTTTTTCGTATTCCGTACCATGACAAGGCATAGCAAGAGCGAACCGTAACCTAAGGCAGTGACAGTAATGCTGCTCACGCACCCTTTCCAAACAGTCGGCGTAAGCTCCCCGGTGCGTGAGGCTACGCGCCTCGATGACCTTCGCCAACCCGCACAAGATCTGGAGGGTGGCAATCTGCAGGGACCCCACGAGGGACGTGGGAGGACGAGAGGGAGGGAGGGAGGGAGGGAGGGAGGGAGGGACACAGCGGGAGAAGAGAGAGGCAAAGGAGTTGAAGAGACCGACACATGTTAGCTCCGGGACAAACGTACGCATACGGGATGGTCAAGTCGAGAGAGAGAGAGAGTGTCTGTATGTGTGTGTGTGTGAGAGAGAGACGTCATGAGAATGAGACACAAGCTATAATAATAGAGGAGATAAAGAGAGAGGAGCACGTAAGCACTGTTTGGCACTTCCATGGCACCTGGCCCAACCCGCGACACGTGTACGCTGAGAGATGCATCCAGACGGGTGGAGCACCCTATGCTACAACAATCGAGCTCTGCGTCATGACATACATACGCACAGAGGGGTGGTGGTGCTTGGGGGGCGTGTGTCTAGCATCCCCCCCACTAACAAAAAGAATGAGAAAAAGTACAACAACTTGCCTCATTACCACACGAACACATACATGCGCACAAAGCGGTGGCGTGTGTCCAGCAAAACACCACAAAAACCACCAAAAAAACTGAGTTGAAAGCATACGCATACTAAGGACAACAAAGGAATAATCAAAATGGGTAGAATACATGTAAAATCTACACGTGCCTGCATCTCCTTCGCTGCAGGAGAGCTGTCCCCCAGCAGGTCCATGGCCCGGAGGGTCATCTTGGTGAGGGATGCCGACAGTGCCGACCCGAGGAAGATCTCGCCGCCTACCAGCAGCTGCCGGAGGCGGGCATCGCTCTTCAAGGCGGAGGATACCGCCGCAACACCGCCGCCTACAGCAGTACGGAGAAATTTTTGTATTAGAAAACAACAAAAACCCAGCGCAACAGCAGTGGTGTGATTGATGTCCAGAGGAACCGATTGTCGGGTAGATGGATGGCGTGCGTGTCACTTCTTTGGTACCGGTTCTTTACCGTACGAGGGATGAGTTGTTGCTGCTGTTGGTTCTTGACAACATAAAAAATGTTCTGACCTACCGAACACGTACTCTTCCCCTACCTGCTCTTCAGTTGGAGGATAAACAACGAAGCTCCGTGGTCACACGCAAAGACAAAACAAGGTTCAAATTCCCCACGAAAAACACAAAACAATGGAGCAAAGAAAGAGCCTTTCGCCCCGAGCACGGACTTGACGATGTTCTCAACGCACGTACCATGGTATGTAACGTGTAAAAGACGGACCGTCATTATGACGGCACGTTCAACGCTTGGGTCTAGCGCCGCGTGTGGAGCGTACTCCACCTTCTACCCCGCTCACCGATAGAACAAGAGCCGTCTTCACCAACACGCCAACACCAGGACCACACACAAAACGTGCGAATGATTTCGTGCGCGCAATACTCCTACCGGGTACGGCAGCTGCTGTACTGTTCCGCTACATAAGGCCGCACGGTGCAAATCACAGGTACAAGAAAGGCCAGCCTACAGCACAACCCGCACGCACCTTGAACCGTGGTCTGCGTGGCATAAGTCCCGTCGGAAAGAACGATGTTCTTGGTCACCGTAGTCCCCCCCCCCCCCCCCCCCCCCCCCCCCCCCCCCCCCCCCCCCCCCCCCCCCCCCNGCCCCCTCCCTCTTCCGCAGCCCCCCCTTCCTTCGCGGGGCCCCCGTCGGCCCCTCCGTTTGCCGCGGACGAGTTAGCCTCCGTGAGAGGCATGGGTCCCACCGACTCTCGTAGCTCGGTGAAGGCGCTCGTGATCGCGTCCGCGTCCTGAAGCACATAGCCAAAAAAAACAAAACAGAAAGAAAAAAAAATTCGAACCATGCTACGTCGCGTTGCGATGCGTGACGATGGGCAGAGAAGAAAAACACAATGAAAAAAAAACACGACAAAAAACTTCAGAAGCATGGTGGCGATACAGCAGTGGTCCGATTTGTCTCGATGGTTGATACTTTCTCCGGCGTATATCCTGATCTTCACACAACAGAGTTGATCCAGTCAAAGCGACACCTCGCGCTGGGCGAGAACCGAAGCTCCATTGTCACACATTACACCAAGACCCAACCGGAACGGTAGTTAGCTTGTGGTAAACGCCTGGTCCCCAAGGGTCCCGTCCAGATTTCACCAGCGCCGAACGGGGCGGGCCTCCCGCCCTCTATCCTAGAGCGACCCCCGACTGCTGCCTTACCTCGCAATATTCACCCAATATCCAGATGGCGACGGCGATGACGGGGCCGTTCACCATGTCCCTCAAGGAGAAGATGAGCTTGGACAGGATCGACGGTCGGAGGCCCTGACGACGACAAACGGAAAAATGGAGAGAGGGGGGGAGGGGGGGGGTGTACTCATAGTCGTGCATGCCGTAGTCGTTAGACCATTGACC